TTTTAGCTTGGTTAATATAGCTCCGAAATTTGTATGATGCTAATGTTTCACAGTGAATAATATTCAAATTTTAATTAATACACACGTTAATATAAAGGTATAAAGCTATGAAAATAAGTTTGTGTATTTAACGCTTGTATCCCACTCTTTCTTTACGATCTTACTTCAAACTCTTTTATCATAACTCTTTTATTCAAACAATCAATGATATTTACCAGCGCTAAAGATAGAGATCTCGTCGTTTCTGAATGAGCATCCCCGTCATCTCTGAGGACTGCTCGAAGGTGAGCGATGTAAGTAGCCGCTAAACGAAGGGTATCCAACTTGCTGAGCTTCGTATCTGCTGGTACCCAGGGTAAAGTTGTCTTCAATCTGCAAAATGCCTTGCTCAACACCCTCATCCGAGCTCGTTCCCTGGCGTTCGCCGCGTTTCTTGGTGCACGACTGTCCAAATCATCCTTGCTGTACTTTTCTTCCGAGACGAACTCCTCATCATCGGCATCCAACGTCGGCGTCGAGGCTCGTCGTTTACGTGGCATCTTCTGCAACTATTTTAATTGCATCGTTTTGCTATACATATCGTTGTACATCAATTTCCGTCAAACCTCTTAGTTACAATGTCGTAACGTGCTATTTTAGTCATTTAGTAGCTTTGGTAGTCCGCAGGGAACGAGTTTCTCGGCAAACAAGTTTTTTTAAAGAACGCTTTAATTTATTCGATGCTTAGAATTAGAAACGATGCTCTTTAGAAAAGAAAACACAATTTCCTTCAGTGACGAAACATAATTTCGGTGCACTGATTTCTCTTCTTCAAGTACGAAACTTTGCAAGGGTTTCTCGTGATGAAGAAAAGAAAAAAATTCTAATTTACCTAGATACATAGAACTTAGAGAAATTTCTTTCTTCAAGAAAGAAATCCTTGCAATTACAATCTTCTTCACTATTTCGTAGAAATAACAAAGGCGAATCAGAATTTCGGAGCACCAATTCGAATACAAAACTTCGCAAGGGTTGAAGACGAAGATGGTACACCTCACCTTGGATCCTTCTTTCGTGGAGCTTGATTTTTTCTTTTTTTTTCTTCAATTCGTATTATTGGAATGTTACGATAAGTCGCGATGCTCACGCGAAACTAATCGTACGTCAAAATTCTTGGCCAAGAAGAAGAGGATGAAGAGGAGGATGCCGAAGAGGAGACACGAGAAAGAGAAGAGAAAACGAACATTGGTAGAGAAGAGGGAGATTTGAGACGCCTCTGAAAATCGGGCGGAGCTTTCTAAATGGTAAAAGCGTCTTCCTTCGACTTGGCCACGTCCTCCTCTTTGGCTTTTCCTCAAGATTCTCGTCCAATCGTTTAGTTCTGCGTCATCTGCAGCCACCTGGTCCATCCTTTCCTCTTCCATCCTCTTTCGAAGCATATATCCACGAATAGCGCTTTTTTATTCATTTGGAATTGACCTTTGCTCCGAATGTTCTTCTTCCGGATATCCGTCGCGTCTCTTCAACTAATTATTCTCCCCTAAAATCCTTCTTTGATAAAATTAAATGCGAAAGTTACATGCAACTGAGATGTATTCCAGAAGGGAATATTTAAAAAGAAATTTGGTTTTAGTAAAAAATATTTTATTAATATTGATAAAAGCAAAATAAATCCATTGATAAGAAAGTTTCCTTATTAATTCTTCACAATAGAGAATCTTCAATTATTTTCTTATTACCATAAACTTAATTTTTCTTGAAGTCATTTCTAACTATGAACTATAAATAACTGTAAAGATATGAGTTTTATTTATTTTATCAAGTGTTGAGAGATACTTGTCTCGTGTCAAATTGATTTTCTATTTTTGTTTTTTATCCACTGTTACTATTTCCTTCCATTCAAAGATTTCGTAGGAGGAAAGGGCCGATTGATCTATTAATCCGGTTTAAAGCCTCGTGAATGAGCTGTCGACCATTTCGTTGAAAGAAGGATTCGAAATGGATCCTGTAATATGAGATTTGCGGTGACCCTGTTGATCCTACTTAATATCCTAAAGTAGGAGTTGATTTATTACTCGACAAATTCGTGAAAGTTCCTTCGCAATTCGACTCCTTTCCATGTAATTGGTCGTGTTCTTCTCTCAAGATATTTGTAACTAGGGATCCATGTAGGTTGGAATTCTAAAAAAAAAAAAAAAAAAGAGTAAAAATTAACGTAATTTTCGAATTTTATGAAGACACATTGATTTATTAGTATTAACTAGTATTAGCATTTATTTTTATTTACTAAAATATTAAACTACTTATTGCTTCTTTTTATCGAATAATCTTTATCAAATAAATGATACATAATTAGTTGACAAATAATTGAAAAAATATATTGTAATAAATATTACTGGAAATACTTTTAAAATATATTGTGAAAGATTGTAGTACGATTGATTTCAATACTACAACTGTTATGTGATATCGACAAACATTTGTCACGTTTATTTGATTAGAAATAATTAAGCATAAATATTACCAAGATTACTGAATTACTTTTTTGGATAATGTTGTGTAAATAGATAGATAATGTTGAACTTTGGAACTGTACTTCCTGTAGTAGAAATTTTATAGAATCTACTGAATATTTTTCTTTAATCAATACTTTAGTTAATATTTATTTACACAGGTTTAAATCAAGAGACATTTATAATATAGGAGAAGATATTTAGGAATGAAGAAAAGAGATATATGTAGATAGATAAACGAAATTATTTTTTATCCCATAGTCATGTACGTAATTGCACATAGATGTCGACACTGCCTTTATCTGATTATAAAAAATTCATAAAAGATTATCCATTTATAAGAGAATAAAAATCTTTATTTTTGGTTAAATTATATTTTCTCCGTTAGTATAATAACGTTATTGCAAATTCATACAGGATACATTATGACTCAGAATTTTACAAAAGGCGCTCGACGAACAAGTAAATATGGCTGACATCTGGCAATGTACATTGAACGCATTTGCGAATTGTGATCTTCGATTCGTACTCTTTAGTTGTTAGTTCTGCGCGATTTTCTCATGTGTAGCAGCGTTTGTTTTTCCATATTAGTAAACGGATAATAATTTTCATTCAATGTACAAAGATTAAACGACGAACAACTAAATAAAGATAATATTTCGAATCTTTTAACGAACGTTCCGGAAGGTGGTTCATTGTGTAATTAAACTTTCAGCACGGAAGGTCCTATTTTTTAACAAAATATGTAAGTATCAAAATACTAATAACCAGTAACTAAATTATCGATTCCCGATTGTTTATGGAAACTTATGCGTACTTCGAAGAGGTTAGGTTATATATTTATTTGTACACGTGATAAAGTTCAATATTTCAAAAGCAGTAATTATTTATGTATTATCTGAATGAGAAATCTCGTTTGTTTTTGTTAACAAATGTCGTGTGAGTTCGTATAAAAGTTCTCAAAGTAAGTGTACATTTAAAATTTTATTTTGTGCATAATGTGAAGATTCAAGTTTTTCAAGAACTTTGTACTACATGTAATGAAACAGTGACACTGTGTTTGATGGTGTAAATTGGTTTTTAATAAATACGTAATGTTATTCTTTTGTAGTTATTGTAAAAGTAAAAGTAAAACTAATTAAGTATGACTGAGGAACATCAGTTGCCTTCTGATTCCGATGAGGATGACGAAGATTATGTTCCTGATGGTGCAGATAGCGAACCTGTGTCTGAAGTTGAATCTGAAGGTGATGCAGAGAGTGGTCCTGAGGACGAAAATGATGAAAATAAAAGAGAAGTTACAAAGAAAAAAGGAAAAAAAAAGAATAAAACTACAAAGTTTAAAATTAAGAAGCGCAGAAGAACAAAAAGAAGAGTGGAAATTGATGAAAAGATAGAAGATGAAGAGGAAAAGGAAGAAGAGCCCAAAGGGAAAAAACAATTGACTGAAGAAGAGGAGAAAGAAAGAGCGGATTCTCTCTGGGCTGATTTTATGAAGGATACAGGTAAATAATTTAAACTCGATTAATATTTATGAATTACATGCATTGGTGTTTTTTCATAAATTGTTGTATTTTTCATTTTTTTGAAGCAACGGCACCTAAATCCCACTCGCAAAGCATAACAAATAAATCAAAAGAGAAATCACCGCCCATAGAAAAGCCAAAAATAGAAGAGAAAGTGAAGATAACCAAGGTATTTGAATTTGCTGGCGAAGAGGTAAAAGTAGAGAAGGAAGTCTCGGTTGATTCAGCAGAAGTAAGATTATCTCTGTCCTCTGCTGAGAATTCTGAGAAAATGGGAAATTCTGGTCCTCCTGCAGGGAGAGGATCTGGAAGAGGCAGAGGTTTTAAAAGAGCTGGTTTAGGAGGTATTTCTTCTGTCCTTGGCCAATTAGGAAAAAAAGCAAAAATTAGTACACTAGAAAAGTCCAAATTAGACTGGGACAATTATAAGAAACAAGAGAATTTGGAGGAAGAAATTAGCACTCACAACAAAGGGAAAGATGGATATTTAGAACGTCAAGATTTTCTACAAAGGGCAGATCTGCGACAATTTGAAATTGAAAAGCAGTTACGTAATGCAAATAGACGCAGTACACGGTGAATTTATATTTTCATATATACACGTATTTCTTCCTTAATAACCAGAACCAGGAACGGTATTGAGATGAATATCTTATTAGATTTGCCAGTTGTCGGCGCTTATAGCACATATTTAATCAAATTCCTCAAACTCTTATTAAAAATATCTCATGCCATATGTAAAAATGTGATTGACTCGGTTGGCTTGACAATCAGCTGGATCTGTTTAAGAAGCGATTGAGAGCCAATTCTGTGAGACGAGACTGATCATTCCAATGTATTGAAGATAATATAATATGTTACGTAATAGTTTAATTTACCATCTGCGAGCTTGGTCTCGATCCGTTATATCATAGAACTTCGCATCGAAGCAGGATGTTTGAAGCTTGGTGCTTCAGAGACCGAATATTCTAACAATACAGAGATCCAACAAGCTCCAGAGATGTTTTTATTCTGTTTCAATGGAGAAAGGATGATTGATGCAGTATAAATAGTGTAGGTATTTAATAAACTGTCATTTGAATAATGAATATGTATATGTACAAGTATGTATTCATATACATATTCGAGTATGTATGGCTTAAAAGTAATCATGATATTTTTCTCCTTCATTTACGATCACTGCCTTGGGCGAGTCATGTCGAACATTTTATTATATTCATAGACGAGATACATACAATCTAGAAAACGCAGATTTTTGTAACAGATGGCAGATTACAGTAATCGTTTTATATTTTTTCAGCTGTACCTGTTATTTATTTGCAAAATTACGGTATGACATATCTGTATAGCGTGTCAGATTCTAGATTAATCGATAGAGAAACATGCATCTGGAAAAAAAGAATGTCTCCAAATTTTCAAAGCTCAGGTTTACAGTTTTTAGAATATATGTAAGATATCTTACGAGACGTGTACAAGACTTCTTTATGGACATGGACTATTTAATATCGTAAAAATAAAGATATACGTTGATATTTAAACATTCATTTCTTTTTTTCTTTGCGTATTGTATCTTTGACTTCAATAGCGTAATCGAAATCGCTGAATAAATTGTTTATTGTTTTCGTTTATGTTGTGTCCTCTGCTTGGCAATGTACTTTCTTTTTCTTCTTCTTCTAGCACAAAGTAGATGTTTTTTTCTTTTTAGTTTGTTAAACATTCTGCGAAGAAACGATCCTCATTGGACACTGATTTCAATATCTTCATACCGATTTATAATTTACATTTGCATTACTTAATTATTAAGTATAAAAGCCATTAAGCCGACGATGTCTTTTTATCCTGATGCGAACGAGTGGATTTTGTCGCTTGATGCTACACAGATATTTTTCAATCACTATTAGCTACTACGTCTGTGACAATGCTGGTGAATGTTCTGGTAGCATGCCACAGATTTCTAGTAGCAAATTTTCTCTCGCCTCGAGCTTACGAGTCATGACTCGTAGATCAATTCGCCTTGTCTACGCGGTTTCTCGCATAGTTCAATGTGCTGCTAAAAAAAGACACGAGAGATATCGAGCACGACAGAACCCGTTCGTACATATGCATCGAGCCTTCGACCATTTACATTGATTTTGTAAGCAAATACAAACGAGATATCAGAATATATCGATTCGTTATTACCTTTATTTGCGAAATTTCACTTTCCTCCTCTCCTAAGATAAAAAGAAACAAAATACGAGTTTGCTTCGATAGTTCAATATCGTCCGTTTGTTTATGTGTTTTTACGAATGCTTACTGACTTGTTACGATTTCGATCTCGATCTCGATCTCGATCTCGATTACGATTTCTCGGGGGATTTCCCTGGCGATTTCTCGAGCAGTATCGTTGGGCGGGACATACCTCGCACGTTCGTCTCCTATTATTTCTAGATTCGAGATAAAAATGCATTAACGATATTCACGCTATCGTACACTTGTGTTTCAGTTTCTCATACCCAGGGAAAGAAAATTTCAATTTTCCCAGCTTCTTACGTAAATTGGATAGTCCCCTTTCAAGCATACTTCTCGTCGAACTGTACGTCAATTACGAATCGTGTTTTTATTTTATTTTGCATTATAAACAGAAACATTTATTATCTGATCGATCCTAACTTTGATACAGGTGGTTCGCAGTGGCATTGCCGGGTTGGTTTTCCCCTTCCAGAATTCGAATTACCGTTCCTTTTGCTTCTGCCTTTCTAAAACAGGAAGGAATTTAATTTCCTCAAATCTTTTTATCACTGCGGGAAGAATATCCTTGTTTCTTAAATTGTAATGCAAAGTTATTTGTCTTTGTAAGAAACAATGGAACTCTCTCTCTCTCTCTCTCTCTCTCTGTTGATTAAAGTTCGTTGTTTAGCATACTCTCTTTTGTGTACAGCAACAGTCGTCATATTTCGAAAGGATAGTGCATGCCGATGGACGTTTACAATTTCTTTTTAGATCTTGCGAGCTGGATCCTCTGACGCAAACGCACAGTGCCGTTTGCTTTTCCCTCGAGAATGTTTTGCATCGAGATCTTGTGGGCTTTTTCTGCCTCGGCGAGGTTGAACGTTTGCGAGCTTCTCGTATTCTGCGACAGTGGCAGGCTCTGCTTCTCCGCGATTTACAACTGATCGATCTCGATCTACGCGATCTCACTGATTCTCTGCTCCTTGTGCTGCGGTTCAAAAGCAAGATATTCTTGAATTACGAAGGGTGTTTCTCTTTCAAATTCAATGCGTATGTAATAGCTCATAATTATCTTGATACAGGCAAATTTATTTATATTTTCATATTTATTCACTGCGTTTGATTTTCTCGTTAGAAAGAAATATTTTCTGTTTAATGAAACTTTGATCGTTAGAATCGTACAAACTGTGTTGTGATATTACTAAAAAAAAAAAAAAATATAATAATATTGTTCAATATGTAAATATCGAATAATTATGAACGATGTGCTGTAAATAATATGTTTCGAAATCCACGCATGTTCTTTGTATTAGTCAATGTGATAATCTTAGCGTATGCAGTAGCTATTCTCTGAATCATTGAAATGCCATGGGAATAAGGATCTTAAAGAATGCAAGATTGTAAAAGATCTGTTGCTCGCAAAATATGCAGGTGGACGCAACGAAGATTCTAATTTATTTATCACCCTCTCACCGTGGCCACGGCGTCGATGTTGAACTTTCCACAGTAGATCTCGAAACTTGGCACATTTTGCTGCGAATTAAATGAAAAATCTTCGTTCGTATATGTGTTTTTATTTACAAATCGTGTACTTGATCGTCGTAAAAGATAATCAAAGTATTAGAACGATTTGCAAGAATTGCGACGCAAAGATTATCTAAAGTACTTTCTACAATCCGTTGTGCGACCTTTTGGCACAGTTGCTCGATTCTTTGATTTTTTCTTCCTCTTTGACGAAGTTCTTGCAGGAGGAACGATATCGACAAAACGACAATTAAATTTTGTATGAAAAGTGTTCATTTACGTCTGTTTTTATAATGATTTTTAAATACCTCGAAGGGGATTGATTTGCTGGACAGATTGGATCCTTACATCTTCTTCTCCTCATTTTTCCTTATTTATTGTCAAATTTTTATCCAATCTGGCGAATATTTAGATCAACGTCATCCTTCACTATTATTTACATGTATATTTCAAACGAAATCTGTATATTTCTTTACTGAAAAAAATCTTATTTCAAACGATCACTCGCGTATGCTTGTTTTTCATTAACCTCCCGATTCCACGGAGGGCGTTTTCTTCGTTTCTTACTATATCGTACATTTTCTCGAAACCATTTGTTCATTTTAGTAATTAATAACAATCATTGCCAGTGGTTCTTCTAACTTTCCTTCGTTATAATTTATCATCTCTTCTTTCTTTCTTTTTTTTTTCTTTTTTTTTTGGTTTATTTTAAAATGTAGATTCCATGTAACCTATTGATTTTACACGTTGCTCTGACAGGTGATCTCGCCGAGAGTATTTTTCAACGTTTCGAGTTCAATTATCGCGAAAGCGAGGGACTCGAACGTATCTCATTCACGTGATACATTTGTGCGATCTGTCAGCAAGATTATCTCGTCACTTCCACATTAACTGATCGATCAAATATCTGATCTGTAATATCGAGTAACAATTGAGAAGCAATTGTAGCATCGGCGAATAATAAAAAAACATTGCTGCTGATTAAAATCATTAGTAGCTGATTTTTCGAGTTTCACTCGGTATCGATTTTACCGACAAATTGCACGCTTATCAATACCGTAAGCAATTTTATCATCTTTCCTTTTCCGGTTAATTCCGCAAATCAATCGTGTCTTCACAGAAATAAGAGAAAGGACCTTGTACATTTCTTTGCAGAAAGTCCAGAGTTTATCTTATCAGTGAGTTATATTGACTCCATCGAAAACATAAAATCTACGATCGTCAACTCGAACACTGGAACAGGAATGCTAATAAAATGAAGTTGTTTCAACCTGCAAGAAATACCTCTGGAGAACAAAAAAAAAAAAAAAAAAAAAAAAAACGACCGAAAGAAGATGGAACTGAACAGAAAAGGGAACTCGTTCGTGCCGCGAGCTTTTCCAAAAAAGGCCTCGTTTTATCGGCGCCTTTTAAACGTGCAGCCTGTGAAAAACGTCGCTGACAGTGTCGTAAAATCGAATTAAAATCCACTTTATGACTTATCGCGGCAAGAACCGTCTAAATACTGGCTGCCGGTCGGATTAATTAACCGGCAACGAGTTGTTAATCGCTTGCGAATGAAGATGTACGTTGAAACACGAGATTGAAATTTTTATGTACCACGCAGAGCAGCGTGTCGCTTCTTTTTTTTTCTCTCTCCTCTCTCTCTCTCTCTCTCTCTCTCTCTCTCGTTGCTAAGTGGATGGCAATCGCGATGCCGAAGGTGTCGCGGACACTTGTTGTAACGCCGAATTACGATCCATCGTGGAATCAGCCGTGCGATGAAGATAAAGGAGGAGGGCAAAAGAGGAAGCCGCGGCGGCGTGGAGAAACGGTGCGTGGAACGTGTGTGCAAAACGGCAGCAGGATTATCGACGCCAGACTGGCGGCTGTTAGTTGTGGCCTTGCTATCGGCAGTTTATTCACGAACCGGAATATCTCTTCGAACGTTCCTTCGGCAACAGCCATTCGTTTCAGAACGCCTCTCCTCTCTTGCGCGGGACGCGCTCGTTACTTTTCCCGATTGCTCGACGAAACGATCCACGTGCGTACGTGGGCGAGATTAATTTCGGCCGTCGAATTAAGTTGCCGTTACTCCGCTGCTAAATCTGGAGAATTCGTCTTTATAGGATAAGTAGAGTAGCTTGATATATACGGGGCTACAGAAGAAGTTGTCATTCTTATAATATGAGGTACACGTATACATACAGATGTAAAAGATGTATGTCACAGTTTATTTGATTATTTATAGAACAAGAATTAGCGATAATGTAATTGATGAGAAACGCATGTATCAGTACGTTCAGAACGACGCTTCGAAATCAACTGAAAAACGCGGAGTGTTCATTTGTTTAGTTGACGACAAAAGACAATCACACTCACACATCTTGCATCGATACATTCCAACAATGTAAAAATATTACAAAAAAGGAGAGGCCATTCACCGATATTATATTGAGAAAAAAAAATATATATATATAATACAATATCGGTGAAATGGCGTCTCCTATAATTTTTTACATCTTCCACATGTCGTTTGTTTACGTTTTTGTTCTTCTTCTACGCAAGTGCGTACATGGTGAGATTAGCAGGATCGCTGAACTAATTGTTCATATTTGAAGATGATAGCATGTTATTCTCCGTGATAAAGTAGAATTTTATTTTGCGGTGTATGTAGATTGTCTACATTGATTTAGAGATTGTCAGTTATGCTTACCGTGTATTCTGTGACATTGTATTGTTTAGATCATTCTACTAGGCAGATAGATATTTATTTCCAACTTCCATAGACATCACGATACTATCGTCAGTCGACCAAAACTACTAATAATAGTCACCTGACGGAATTCGGCGGCAGCGTTGGTGAAATGCGCGCGAAACGGGACGGATGCAAGCGTCTACGTTTAAATTTAAACGCTCCCTAACACAACTTCTTTCCAGGATATTTCGTCGCGACTTACGCGCCCTACGCGACGAACACGCGTGCGTATTTACAACGCGACTGTGCTTCATTACGAGCATTGTTACGAAGTGTTAATAATTAAGAGTCGGCCAGGCTACGCGCAGAGAATACCATTAACCGTCTATATTTAAGCGACGCGAAAACGCTTCGGCGTCAATCCGTTCACGAGCGACATAATGGATCCGCGTGAAAGGATACTCTTTGTGTTCTTTATTGGGCAAACTGTAACGAGCGGCGGACGTGTAACGCGTTCGTTTTATAACGCGGCGCCATTGTGGATGAGAATCGCGTTTGCGTTTCTTCGACGCGGGCTAGGAAACAGGAAACTTTGAGGCCGGATTTCACGGATGACAATTACAAAGGGCAGAAGGGGGAGGGGGACAGTTCGCCATCGCGGCGAACGACGACGAAGAAAAAGAAAACGTCCCTCCCCATCCCACCTGTGTTTTATCGAATAACAACTCACAAAGGGATCCTAATAATAAAACCTCGCTGACGGTGAATCGAAAGTAACTCGCGCGTTCATTATGCGGATGATCTGAGAGTGAAAGCTGAATCGCGGGAAAAGGCTGTTATTTTGTATAAAAGGCCGGGATATTGCATTCAGCGAAGGGATCGTAATAAATGCGTGTCTTGTTAGGGCCGTTTAATTTTCTGTTCCGGCACCGGAGAATTCTCCTCGTTGATCTTTCCTCGCGGAGGAGAAAGGGACAAGTACTGATGGATCATCGGAAGAATTGTAGGCTTGATATTGCGGTGAGGGATTGTTGGGCACGATAAATCGTTGAGATAAATGTAATCGCAATTATAAGACTAGATTAATAGAACTAGAATTTTCAATTCACGAATTAAAGGAAATTTTATTCTGATAATTAATTATCGAGATACTGAGATAATTTCTATATCGCTGATTAGAATATTTACCACTTACTTCTTAAACTACGTTCTTCTGTGAAGTATACAACTACCATGTATGTCAACTCTGTTTTCTTAAATTTTTGGGACACGTGATATCTGTTTGTGACACGATATGCGTTTTGCCACTGTAATCAACTGCACGATGCTCAAATTTTTCTCACGTTATTTTCGATATCGAGTGAAACGATCAAAACTTTTCAGCTGGTGCTGTCAATGATCGAACAGACATACGATTTTACTCGTTCGTTAGGAACAAAGAAGAGACAAACGTGACACCCACAATTAGTCGAACCTTTCACCAGCGAAGCTTCAATTTTTCTTATTTCTGCATTCCGTCATACATATGCAAAAGATGACTTCGTTATATGCCCGTTGTTAATTTACATAATTGGAAGTACGTGGCCCTTTTTTTTTCTCGTCAAGTGAACAGAGGCTGTCCAGCAACGCGACAAACGAAGGATAATCAATGCTATCTCCGTTCGAAACCGTTTCCCTCGGCAAATGTAATTTCGGTGCACCTGAAAGAATCTGCAAGGCAAAACCAGAAGATCTATTTTCATCGTCGTCCCTCTCTCGCGATCGGGAATTCACGCCGGTTTCGAAGATGTTTTTTTTTTTCACGGGCTTGCGAATAAAATTCAGTGACGTACACACTTTGGCAACAGACAGTTTTCTCAATATTTTTACAACACGAGTTGTTTTTCTTGATATTTCTGTGCAACTTGTTGTATAGTTTCCAGATTTCTTCTGCTCATCTTACTTTGCCAGAACAATTTTACAACGTATTATAAATACGTTGAAATGTAACAAGGAAAAATATTCAAGACAAAGAAGTTTCACGTATTACGACGAGCGAAAAGTAACGTTAAAAGATTGCTCCATTGGAACGTCGAATGGAGCTAGAATTTTGGCTTCTTATTTGAACAACGAAATTATTAATTTATCGCCGTAATCGTTGAAATTAAGCCAAACTTAAAATACTGAAGTTCTTTGGTTACACGAGAAAGGAACGTTTAAGGATAGACGTAAAATGGATGTTCCTTTGCTACAAAATTTCCGGGACGCTGTTACAGGCGAACATACTCGCTGAATACGCCACTGATAAAATTCCACAGGAATTCCTTTTGCCAGAAGCAAACTAGACGAGACTAGCAATAAGATTGATTCGCACTACCAAGATTCCAGCGTCTGGTTTTACCTCGCGTGCCAACCAAGTAGCCCGGAATTAAAGTTTATCTTCCACTCTCTTTCGCCACTGCGCACGAGTTTGAAATTATAGTAACAAGTGTTCCAGTTCATGTCAGCTTGAAGTTTCGGGCAGCTTTGCTCTCAGAGGCATTCTTTTTGTACCTCTTGAAGGTATTTAAAATTGGTTAAACATCAAAGTTTACGTTACTAGTATCACAAACACTTGTTACTATAGTGGAGTTGCCTATCAGTTTTGCTTAAAATTGTGTTTAATAAATTGTCAAAGAACTCTTACTATTTCATTTGTATCTGTGATTAAAACAATGCAAGTTTTACTTACGTACCTGACTTATTATTTGAATATGAAAGTAATCAATGAAGTGTAAGCTTCACGATAGTGCGCGTGTATTTTATCACTATCACTGTACACCTGTAAGTGCACTCTCGCTTACTCAATGGATTATTCTGTCCATAATCTTACGTCAACAACGAAGTTACAACGACTATCTAGTTCATTAATCAAAGTGCAACATTTCAACCTGGTAAGGATCGCAACGCTGAAAGACGTCCGTGGACGTGGCAGTCGGTTTTTATCTGGCTAGAAATTTTTTTCGCCAGCCGAATAGCCTAGCGCAGGGCGTAGAGTCGAAGCACAGGGCCCGTTCCTGTACGGAGGGCCGAAGTAAAAAAG